TGTAATTCAACGGTGACATCACAAAGTGCCGCCTTTACAACAGAGTGGGCCACAGACAGATCAGGACTACCTCATCTGGTACGTTGACTCGTCTGAGCTTGGCCGGATGTCAGTGTCTAACCACCCCAAGCATGCTAGCTTAGGACCGCTGTTGTCGGATTTACTTGAATCGTCGATTGTGACGAGTTTCAGGAAGCAGCTAACAAGGCTAATCGACCACCGTCTCAAGGCGTTTATTCGCCTGGCGTTTCAGAATTCAGCATCAGATGCAGCAGGTGGTAAATTTAATGGGTCGCGTTCTTAATGGGGTGCAGTCACTAGGCAACTACATACTTAAATAAACGTAGAATTAATTGATCGTGCGTGTGGGCGACTCAATGCCATCCCCAGTGTTGGTTACTAATGTGATAATTTTTCCGAAATCCGGCTCACCGATTCTGCAGTTGCAAACAGGGTTCACCTACGCACTCCCCTTGTGCGCTCACTAATTTTCATGTCGTTGCACCTCCTTCGGGCGAATACAATTGTTGTTCCAGTGGTAGATCTCTCCTGTTTCAATTTTCTGGAGGTTATCCAATGGTCGGTGTTCCGCCCTGGTAACAGCATCACTGAGCAAATACTACTAGTTCATCATCAGCAGATATCCCCTCGAGCTCGCCAGACTTCCACTATCATCCTACTCGCCACACCGTTCTTATTTGGAGTTCCGACTCGCGATGTCGACCAAACCACTCAATTCACAGGAAACGCTACTTTATGCGTTGCGGTGCAGGAATACCTCAAGTTCCTAACCCCACACACTGGCAGTGGTGGTCAATTCGGAACGTGAATCATCAGACACTCCTTAGCAGATACCGAAGTCTACGTGCATCCTACGGCCTATGTTGACCATTGTCCCTAGTTAAATTTTATGTATGTCATGTGTTCCAGGCGAAAATGTATTCCACCACACTCTGTCATTTTCCTTCACCAGAAAACGCACGACTCTTAAAGATGTGCGTCTGACGGTTAAGAATAGGTCATATTACTGTCGGTGTAAGGATGGCTTATATGGGCAGGACTGTCCTAAGGGGGCCTTTTTGTCTTTGACTTATAACAATAACGCGCTTTTACATAATTATTAACCCGAATTTCCCTTCTTCGTTAAATTCTACCAATGTAACGTCCAACTTCCCTTTTCTCGTTTAGTCCACCAATATAAGTTCGAATTTTCCACAATTGACATCAGTATCCTGATCAAGAGGAGTTTGTGTTAATGGATTTGATTATCTTCAGTACATGGAAACTAATATAATTTTCTTTAATTTAATGTTCTTTGATCGCTTCCACAACAATTCATTTATACTCACAAACCAAGAGTTAAATGTTTGACCACAAAATATGTTAGACAGTTGGGCGGGGGAATAGATATTTAGGTGGCCCTAAAAGACATTTTTGCCCTTATAAGTATCGCCACAGGACCAAATAACCCCAAAACGATAGTAATGTATAAATATTTATTTTGCATGCAGCAACAGCAAATAAAAATAAACATTGAGTCCGCCATGACTGATTCGCTACAACTATTGAAAAGTTAGGTAAATGAAACTATCTACATAGTAAATATCTAGACGCAACGGAAACACATAATTAATAAAGAGGCTTTTCATCAATCGTAACGTTTAGTTCCTCTTAAAATATTTTGTTCAATGGATATGCTACCTGTGCATGCGAAAATAAAAGCTTTCATTTTTACCCCGGTCCCGCAAAACATGATGCTGGGGTTGATGCTTACTTTGGTGATACAATGGAGGTCCTGCGATCACCTCCCCTGCGTTGACACGTTTTCTTCAAGCTGTCAGTCTGTGCGCTCATGGCCAATTCGTTGCAGGGACCCGCCTAACTCATTGTGCCGGTAGCCGCGAAGCCTTGCAGCCCTGCATGCTCGCAATATACCCTCGGGACGCTCTTGTTCGATCTGCCGTGAATGCCGCCCAATCAGCGTGAACCATTTACTGATTGGTTGTGGGACAAGTCAGGGGTTGAGCAGAGGCACAGAACATGTCAAACCTCCGCAATCAGACAGACAGGAAAAGGAGTCATTCTACGGGATACATCTGATGAAACCGGCTATCGCGTAATTCTATCACTTTGTCGGTTTAAACCCTCACTGATCGACCCGTGAAGAAGCTTGATTTACAAAACGTCTCCCTCCAAGCGAAAAAACAAGTCTAAATTCCTTCCCCACACTAGGAACGGGCAATGTTTCAAAATGAGAACAAGAATCATGCTAAATTTTGATTTTACAAACAAATTGGAATTTACAATTCGCACTTGTAAACAGTTGACGCTTTTTTTCAATGCTGCGGACCAAACACAGTATAAAACTAGGCAGACTGCGTTCAGGGGAAAGGATAAGCTGCCAGAGGTTAACATATTTACGAAAAAAATATAAACAGAGCAGTGCCAAGCAGGCACAGAAAGAGAATTGGGAACTCCGTGACCTCAATCCAGGAGAGAATAAGAAGGAAAACAGCTTGCGACTGACCAAGTTGGGATCGGAGAGGTCGACAGACAAATTATCTGTAATAGAACAGGGATGGTACTGAGGGGACTGGCGGGGGGGGGTCAAATGATACAGTGACAGATGGTGAACAGTGGCTTAAAATGGATGTCAACTGGGAAGAGCTTTCGTGAATGGCACCAAAAATTAAACCTCCAGAGATTATTGTTAG